TAAAAACGGGAATTAATTATAAAAGACCGAGTGATGACAGAATATATAAAAAAAATCCAAAGTCCAACGTTAGTAGGCCTATTTCCTTTTTAATCCTACTATATTATTACAGCCTTTTATTCAAATAGTATCAGTATTGTTTTTGGAGTGGCGATTAGTGCATCATGACCTCTTGTGAACACACTTGACCTTTCTTAAATTTTGTGACTTGTCAATCATATTGTGAAATCCACCTGACCGGCGTGTTTATCTCTCCCAAAAAAAAAAAAGAAAAAAAAAAAAGAGAGGAATGTTTAATAAGGAAAGGAAATCCAGGCTGGAGGGAGATGACCGAGTGCCTGGCATCAGATCCGATAGCATTTCCAATATCAAGGATAGATTAAATTTAACAGCTTGAAATGATTTCCTATTCAGGGATGATCGAGTTTAAATATTATGTTTATACAAAGCTAACTCACTTCAAGTGGCAATTAACTGCCTCGTTTAAATACTTTTTTTTTGTGTAATATTATTATTGATTGAGTCGAGCTCGAGCTTTCAACACAGTGGAGTGACGCCCGCAACGCCCTGAGCATTTAAAAGGTGGCCCCGAGCGCCTCTTTCTACTACCTCACATAAATATATAGTATTTCGGCCATGAAATTAGGTAAAGGGATTACCCATCATTGTTTTCTGAAAATATGACAACAAAAATCATTAAAAAACAATTTTAAAATTAACTTGCACATTTTACAGTAACATACAAATTATTAACTGGAACATAGAAATTATTGAATTTTAAAAAAATTTCCCTGATTATACTGGATAGTGATAATAAAACCAATGACAGTGACCGGAAGTACTTGTATCATTTTTCGCTGTAAAATTATGGTTAAACATTTTTTAAATACACTAATTTCTATGTTGAAATTGATAAGTTGTATGTTAGGCCCTATTTTATAATGAACGAGTTACTGTCATTTCAAAAATGATTGATAGGCCTATGTTTTTTGTTTGGCATTTTGCATGGGATAATACATCTTTAAACAAATTAGTATAATTTAGTAGTAGACGAAAACAAAGAGCAATTGAATTTTAATGTTCACCTCCTTATGAAAGTTGTAACATTACAAAACTTATTTCAGAGTACACTAATTATGAAACAGAACAATAACAGAAACAAAAACAAACTTAATACATTTATGTTTCGTTTGGCGCCATCAGTCCGACAGAAAGTTACCAAATTTGTTTCAAGGTTAAAATCTCCCATCTTCTTTCACTCCTTATTTATAACAAAACAAAATCTGGACGATTAGAGCAGGTTTAGCGCCCTCTCTGTCACTACATTTACTTAAGCTTATTATATTCTGGTATTTTTAATTTTTTTTTCATTGCAAAATAAAATGAATTGAGATTATTAATTAAAAAATAGAAACTATAGGAATATAAAAATCTATAAATTATTATTATTATTATTATTATTATTATTATTATTATTATTATTATTATTATTATTATTATTATTACTTATTACTTATTATGATATAAAATTTAGCAATACAATTCAAAACACATTCAATTACACTCTCTCTAAAGTATAAAATTCAAATATTCAAACAAAATTACGGGTGTTTTATTTTTTATAGAAACCAAAATTAGTTACCATAATCAACCACTATCATTAATAATTTAGAACATTAATAAAATGTGTAATTATATTGATTAATAATACTTTACTCATTATTGTATTAGGCCTATAATTTACAGTTAGTAGGCTACGTATAGGCATATATACACTAGGCCTAGCTGCACTGTCTAAACTTTAAGAACATGCAGGTTTATCAACATTTTATTTTAAATATTAGGCCTACCATCGTTACTGTTATCAATAATGTAGGCCTACAGAAAATGCGTAATCATTATGATACTTTAATATTTCGTATTGTTTTACGAGGTTATTTTAAATAGCGGGCCTATTATTAGCTCTGTCAATTATGTGTATCATCTAATTCTAAGTACAGTAAACGGAAAACGGAAGGTATATACATAAATAGTTAACAAACTGAGAGATTTGAAATGCGTGACTACACCAGTTAAGTGGGGGGGGGGGGCGCCAAGACCCCGGGTTTCTAGGGGCGGAACCCCGGTGTGAGCCGGTTCCAGTCAGATCACATCAACGGTTGGTTGTGTGACAATAATGAACGCGCAAGACCGCACGCGACTGGATTGGTTGATTTGGTGGGGAAAGAGAAATTTTCCCTACTGAATTGATTCTCGAACGAGATTACCAAAGCTCTCTATTGACTCGAGCTACTGCATGACCTTCTTCATAATGAAACCAATTTCTTCTAATTTTAAATACATTTTCTCCTAAATTCGTTATCACGCACAGACTTGTGCTAAATGCGTGACAAATTTATGATCACGCATGTGTTTCTGCAAAATGTGTGTTTCATCCAAAATCACTTTGAAATGCGGGACCGTCCCGCACGATGCGAGATGGTTGGTAACCATGACAAACATGTAGGTCATACAACAACGTGAATACGCTGAGTAGGCATATCATGGCGCACTGTTTGTGTCGCTAATTAGGCTTAGATAACGGTAATGGCTTAAGTAAAAAAAAACATTACATTATGTGGACACTCGTCGTAAGTGACGCGCACGTAAATGTCACGTTTGTCGTAACTTTACTTCAAGGCCGTCTGAACAATAAGGCCAAATAAAATAAATTGTTTGTTTGCCATTCTTTTTTTTAAAATGATAAATAGTGGCGTGTGGAAAAAGTTTTTTTTTAAATTTATATAAAATATATATATATTTTTTAAATATTCATTGATGGAATAAAAATAACCCACAAATACCTAGAATGGCAATATCTTACATCAGATAACAACCTTAGACTAATTTGTAGGGCATCTGGCAAAAAGTAAAGATAAGTTCACTCACATTTAATTTGTAAAGAAAAAAGCTAAAAATAAAACTTTTTTTAAGTTTTGTTTTTTGTTTTTTTCTTCCGCCCCTATTTTTTTCAGTGAGCTCGGGGCGGGTGGAGGAGGGCAAACAAATAATTTTTTTGGGCCTAACTGTAGATCATAATGTACACCTTCCAAAGCTATTCTAAAATCATTCTCTATTCCCTTTCATATTTCGGATTCTATTCAGTTACATTCTCAATCCTGTCCTCGTTCACTTACATCCCCTACTAGCTCCTCTACCCTTTCTCCATTCAATTTTGCAAGCCCAATCCCCTTTTATGGTTGCTGCTTAAAACTCAATACGGGAATCTCCATTACCGTATTTTATAGCTCCATGTTTTAAGTGAGGTTTAAAACTCATCTATTCCCATCTATCTATGTTTTTTCTTGTGTTATTGTGAAAGTTATTTTTCTTACATTTGCTATTGCCACTACAGCCATAATTCGAGTCTTATTCAAGATTCAAGAAAACGTTATTTTCCAATTTTAAAATAGGAAATTTGTTTTTTTTCTTTGCAACAGTTTTAGTTAAAAAGAATAAAATTACATGAAAAACCAGAAGACAAAACAACTTGGCATTGACGTGGAGTTAAGTATTCAAGTTTATTTTTTTTATATATATACATATATACATATATATATATATATATACATTTATATACATATATATACGGATATATAGGCCTATATTTATATACATACATCCGTATATATATATATGCATATATATATATATATGCATATATATACATATATATGCATATATATAGATATAGATATATACACACATATACATATATACGTATATACATATATATGTATATATAAATGTATTACATGTATATAAAGGCCTATATATATATATATATATATAAATGTATATACAAACATGAGTGAGAAAGAATTAGGTGCTTCAATGGCATAGCTGGTT